AAGGGGCAAAGGAGGTGAGGTGGTGGGGGCAGAAAGAAGAGACGAAAGCAGACGACAGAAGATTGCTAGAGAGCAGGAAATGAGGTGAAAGGAGACAAATTTAGAGAAGAAAATTTTTCGGTCGCTACCCGGATTCGAACCTGGGACCTTTGAATGAGAGGCCAACACCTTAACCCCTAGGCCACGAGAGCCCCCGTAATACTTCTAATCTTCAAGACTTATTTGAGTTATATGACCTTATTGTTTTTCCGCAAGTGCCGTAGAGCTCTTCATCATTATCATCCAGTGCCAGATCTGCGACAGACATTGGCGATCATGGTTCTCTATTCATTGCTTTGCTCGGATGCTCTAAAAAAAGCTACGTTTCCCTGATCTTTCCCTGTTACCCATTTGTTTAGGTTCCCTAAGTATGTAATGTTGTTCTGGGCCTTCCCCTGCCTCGCTTGCCTTCAATTTTGCCAGTGAGAGCTAGATTTCAAGACCCTTATGTCTATATATGCGTCCCAAAAACTGCATTTGTCGTTTCCTGATTGTTTTTAACAGTGAGCGTCCCACGTGGGCTTCTTCAACACTACCTCATTTGATTTCTTTTTCTTCTAGGATACTCTTAGCAGTCTCCTAAGAAACCGCGTAGTCTCCCAAGAAACCACGTAGAGCTCTTACTAATACTAAAACTAACGTCGCAGTTAGCGTTAGCCACATACCTAGCGAACTATTTACATAAATTTATAAGAAAGAAGGGTTGATAAAATACTGGTGACTATTGCTTTTTCATAGTCATTTATTAACTCTGATTTCAAATCACCAGCATTTTAGAAAAATGCCTTATGAGTTGGTGTGTTATTATTTCAGATCTTAATTCAATAAACAAAGTCGTGCAAATGTGTTTCATGAAAAAGTGGAACCCAGGGCAAATATTGGGCTCACTAGAAGACCAGTCACCCGTGGTTTATGATTTGTAAGAACAGTCGAGGGCCCTTTAGAAACGTTCTCTATTTTCCTCCCTCTATCTATAATATAACCACAGAGCGTGCCGTGGTAGTCTCCTGGTTCTTCTGTCCCTGCGGTTTTATGCACACAAAAAAAAATTCTGAAATTATGCAAACTGAGTCCAAACAATGTGAATTTATGCGATTCTGTTAATTTTCACAAGGAATGATAAAGGAAAATAATCGGAAATTAATATGCAAAAATGATCAAAGTTTGCTAAATTATGCGGGTGCATAAAACCGCGGGAACAGGTTCTTTACATTCATTATATAATATAGCAGGAAACTGATTTTAACTATGCTGCTCTACCAGGAAAGCCATTGCCTGCTATGCATCGACGTCAGAGTTGCATAATGTGAAAAGGAATGCAGCGAACCGTATAATGAATCAACAAGATTGATAGCCTTAGGTAGGTGTGTGCACTCTCTACTGTACTTGTTGAATAGCGCTGTGCATGTGTGGGGGGCCCGGAAGCAAGAGAGCCTTTTAATTTTAACTAGATTAAGTAGGCTATATTATTGTCTATTTGGTCTTACAAATCATGCCATCTCAGACAGAATCCGTTAACGTATTTTATTCAAAATAAAAATACGATTTTTAAAACATGATTTTTGGGTAGGTGCTTTTTGCTTTTGTTTGTTTTACTTTTGCTTCGTTTTGTTTTTGTTTTTGTTTTTTAAATGTCAGCAGTTTGAAAAATAAAAAAGGAGGAATCATCGCAGTTTGTTTTTGACTCTCTGCCACTATGGCTCTTTTCAAGATGCACGAAGTAGAGGAATGGCTCTTTAGTCTGCGTAGACGTCTGGCCTTAATCTTAAAGTTATCGGTTTTCTTGCCAGTATTATGTTTAAAAAAAAAAAATTTTTTTTTTGGGGGGGTGTAAAGTATAACACGGATTCGAAGCATTTATTTGGTTTACGGTCAAATCCCTTCACTGCCATGCCATAGGTTGATTACACTTCCTTGTCTCTGATCTGGTCATGAATGTCGAGAAGGGTAACACTCAATCTCAGAGAAAAGGCTAAAAAAAAAAAAAAGACAACCCTAAACCACCCCCCCTCCACACACACACAAAAAAAGAAAATGCGGTTGCTAGCGCTGTAAAACCCTTACCAAACTTACCAGAGTATTAAAAAAATACAGCCGAACCTGTTGTATTGGTCGCCTGTCCACCAAGACGATCATCAGTACATCTCACTTATAAGTGGAGTTTATACATTTTATAAATACATGACATAATATGAAATAATAATAAAAGACATGTTATACATTTTATAAATACATGACATAGTATGAAATAATAATAACTTGTAATAAAAGGCATGTTATACTGAACGAATAATACGGCATCAGTTGAAAATCGACAAATTTGACTCTTTGTGTTAATTTTTGGCCGATAATTTCATTAGTAGTGGATTGCGAGAAGTACGGTATCCCATTTTGTCAGCACGCCTTAAAGGCAAATTTCAATTCAAACAGTCACTTCCTACCCCCCCCCACCCTCCTCCCTTGCATTTTTCTTGCCTCATAAAGACACTGTCCAAGATGCCCAGCTTCAACAGAAGACGTCCGTCAGGGACAGTTTCGACTGTAGATTGCCCAAGTAGGCTACTACTTCCCTCCTTTCAGATTTCCACTTCCTTGGTATACTCTAAAGGAGGGACAGAGTCAGTACGTTTGGAACGAAAGAAGGCGTAAGGGTGTGTCTCTTTTGAGAGAATTTGTTTTTGAATGTTTGAATTTTGCGCGGGTGGCGGCCTAACGGCTTATACTCACTATTCTCAACCACTAACGGATCTTTAAGGTGTGCAACGTACACTTACAGGACCTCCAAGATTCTTCTTCTTTATCCTATAACATTATGCAGTTGCGAGCGCCGTAAAAACTCTATTAAAACTAATCTGTCCTAGAAGACTAGAAGTAGAAGACCTGTATCCCATTCTTCAAAATCATCGGGAAAAGGCATCAGTTTGAAAACAAAAGGATTAAAACTTCATTCTCTTTGTTCTTACCTAAAATCATCTGTAATGTTGCAATCACGCTAGTTCAGAACCGTGCCTCTGTTAATCCTCATTTGAGATCAATCCTGTCAACACAACAGAATAAAACCTGACTTGAAAATACAGAAATCAAGAAAAAACAAAACAAAACAATATAAAGAACTTCCTAGTTAAAGATACCAAGTTCTCTAAACGCTAGATATACAAATGTCACGTAGCGTAAAAACACTATGGCTTTCCCTTCTCAACGGGGAAGGAATGTCTACTAGGAGTCCTCAATGTTCACAACTGACTACTGCAAGAAATTCTTACTCCTGATATCATTATTCAAAGCATACCAGGACCCTCTCTGCCAGTACAGTACTAGATCTAGTACTTGCCCAGTACTATTGTTTTTTTTGGTTTGTGCAAGACCCGCAACATTTTCTGACGTACGAGGTAGGTTAATAGATACATGTAGATAGATAGATAGATAGATAGATAGATAGATATATAGATAGATAGATAGAGAGAGAGATAGACAGATAGATTGATAGATAGATAGATAGATAGATAGATTGATAGATAGATAGATAGATAGATAGATAGATAGATAGATAGATAGACACGCCCTTTGCATGAACGCTCGCATGTACCACACGCACGCCTACTCACATTTTGGTATTTATGTGATTTCTGTGACGGAATTTTTTCAAAATGTTGTTTTCAATTTCTGCACAGATATCTTACTCAAGAGATCTAAGTAATTTACAGCGATGAGATGAGGCTACTCTAGGGAATAATCGTCATACGGAGCTTTATTTGAAGAGTGAGTAGCTAAAAGTATATTTCTTGTGAAGAACCGACAGGGAAATGTATTGAAAGAGCGGAAAGAAAACGTGAATAGATGCAAGAATATTGACAAGGGAGAGAGAGAGAGAGAGAGAGAGAGAGAGAGAGAGAGAGAGAGATAGAGAGATAGATAGATAGATAGATAGATAGATAGATAGATAGACACGCGGAAGG